TTCTTAGGCCCACCATGCTGGGAGAGGCCTGGGGACCCCACGCTCAGACTGGGCCGTCCAGGAGACCGCTGTGACGGGGTCACCATGGTTGTCCATTAAACCTCCACTCTGAAAACGACCTGCCTCCTAGCACGTTCATCCTGACCTTTGACCTCCACACCCGCCTGGCTGCTCGGAGGTGGGGCCAGCAGCTGGTCACAGCCCATCTTCAGACACACAGGCCCCTGGCCAGAGGCAGGTGTGTGCTGGACGGGGCCAACGGTCTTCCTCAGTGCTCCGGCCACTCCTGGCCATCCCGGCTCTGCCCCAAAGCCTCCAGGGTCTGAGGACCAGCAGCAGGCTGACCCCTCCCTTCCCAGCTCTTTGGCCAGGCCTCTGGGGCCCCCGTTGGCTCCTCAGATACCAAAGCAAAGGAGGCCACTTGTCACCACCCCTTGAGCCTTTCTCAGGGTGGTCCCCCAACCCAAACTAGTGAAGGAAGAGGTGAGTGGCAGGGCGTTTGGTCTCAGAGGATCAAGACGGAGGGGCTGTGACTGCCACTAGCGCAGGTCCTGCAGAGGCTACTGTACAGGTGAGGCTCAGAGGAGTGATTGAGGTCGGGGACTCCACTCAGCCATCACCTGAGACGTGTGGGCTGTGGCTGTGATGCAGTCACTGAGTTCCCACGGCGGTGGCTGGGCTCAGGCCAGCAGAGCAGCAGTGCCGTCTGGTGACAGGTCTCGTGCCTGGACTACATGGTTTGGTCCAAAGTGACATGTTCCTCAGCCCGCTGGCCAGACCCAGGCACAGAGCTGCTGTCTTCACGAGAGCCAGGATGTGGCACGACCGGAAATGGTGGCCTCTTCCCTGCCGGGCTGTGTGCAAGTCTCCAGTCCCAAACGTCCAGGCCCGGCTCTGGGTGTCTTTGGCAGTTCAACTCTCACAAAGACATCTCAACACGCTAGGTTCCGGCTCCATGGGCCCGCAGCCCTCCTGGTCAGCGCCTGTTGAGAAGGTCTCCACCCTGCCTGCCCAGCTCCACCCTGCCAGGCTTCACCGACCTTGGAGAGCTCAGAAGCAGCTCTTAGCAGCAGTAACAGAGGTGACCACGCCACGTCCTTGATGTTGTCCTTGCTACAGTCTGTCCTGGGGTGTGATCTGCCCTCTGGGGCAGCAGGGTGCTCTCGGCCCGGGCATCCCTGCATTCCTGGGCTTTTCCCGATTCCTTTCCTCCCAGCTTGCAGACCTGGAATACATTCCTGCCCATCTCTTCCTAGAAGTGTCTTGCCCAACACAGCCTATGACCAGCACGTGCTGCTAAGGTTTCCCAACCTTGTCACCAGACCAAGTTATTTAGGACGGCACCGGCCTCGTGAGTCATCACAACCCAGTTTTCCCAAACGTTCCAGGGCTGCTAATAGCTTACTGACATCCCTCTTGCAGTGACTGGCTCCAGCCAGCCCCCAGGCTAGTGGCACGCACCCCGCGTCCTGTTAGCGTAGCAGGGCCTCCAAGGGGTTGCTACCTATCCCACATAGGCTAAGGTATGTACGCTCCAGCCACGGACAACTCAGAGATACCGACATCTCAAACCACAAGCTTTATTTCTCTCTCGTGCTACTTGTCCACGGC